CTAGTGATTTGTACAACTAAAATCATGTGGCGCATACCTCGTGTCTGGCTTTTGTCAGCTTGTTTTGTGAGGTTCAGACCTGTTGTCTGCGTCTTGGTGTGGACAGGCTACAGTGTTTCTGTCCTGGCTGCTGCCGACAGACTTTGTTCTTCCCAGTTTTTAATGATCTGACCAGTGCTGCTACGACCATATTCTTGCCTTTGGTGTCTTTCTGATGAATATATGTTCTTACCTTTTTTTTTTTTTAAAGATTTTATTTATTTATTTGACAGAGATCACAAGTAGGCAGAGAGGCAGGCAGAGAGAGAGGAGGAAGCAGGCTCTCCGCTGAGCAGAGAGCCCGATGTGGGGCTCGATCCCAGGATCCTGAGATCAGGACCTGAGCTGAAGGCAGAGGCTTTAAGCCACTGAGCCACCCAGGCGCCCCTGTTCTTACTTTTAACATATTCACTCCTCTCAACATTTTCCTTTATGATTGATTAGTTCTGTTTGTTTACTATTTAAGAGACCTTCCCCTACATCAAGGTAATAAAGATAATCCCTTCATAGAGCATCTAAAAGCTTTGTAGTTTGGCTTTTTTACTTAGGTATTAGCCATTTGGAAAAAGTATCGATAACTCACAGAGCAAATCCTCCCACTTTGTTTTTTGGATTTTAGGAGGATGGGGAAGTTTCTTCAAAAGCATCTCGGGCTATTCTTGGTCTTTTGTACATTTTATATACACATTACATTCTGTCAAGTTCCATCAAAGCAAACAAGTGTGTTGGGATTTTACTGGTTTTGTACTGAGACTTGAAATCAGGGTGGGGAGGGTTGCCTGTGTTGCTCAGTGGTTAAAGCATCTGCCTTTGGCTCAGGTCATGATCCCAGGGTCCTGGGATCGAGCCCCACATCAGGCTCCCCGCTCAGCAGGAAGCCTGTCTCCCTTGCCTCTCCCACTCCCACTCCCCCTGCTTTGGTTCCTCTCTCGCTGTGTTTCTGTCTGTCAAATAAGTCAATGAAATCTTTTTTAAAAATCTAATTAAATAAATACAAATAAATAGTGCTCGCTTCAGCAGCACATATAATAATACAAATAAATAAATTTGCGGAGAATACACATCTTGACAAAATTGAGCCTTCCCACCTATGAGTGTCGTATATATGTTTTCATTTGTTCAGGTGTTCTGTAATATACCACTATAAGCTTTTGTAATTTTCTCTATGAAGATCGTACCTTTTTTCCAGCTTATTTCTTGATACCTTGTATTTTTTATGGTATTGAAAGGGTATCTTTTTTACTACATTTTCTGTTTGCTGGTATTAAGTAATACAATTAATTTTTTTTTAAGATTTTATTTACTTATTTGACAGGCAGTGATCACAAGTAGGCAGAGAGAGGGGGAGGCAGGCTCCCTGCTGAGCAGAGAGCCCCATGTGGGGCTCGATCCCAGGACCCTGAGATCATGACCTGAGTTGAAGGCAGAGGCTTAACCCACTGAGCCACCCAGGCGCCCTATACAATTGATTTTTTAAAGATTTATTTTTAGAGTGTGCTTATGAGTGGGGGGAGGGGCAGGGGGAGAGGGTGGATAATCACCAGCAGACTCCTGACTGAGCACAGAGCCCTACAGGCTGGAACCTGCAACCCTGAGATCATGGCCTGGGCTGAAACCAATTGTCAGATGTTCAACCAACTGAGCTACCCAGGAACCCCAAGACAACTGATTTTTAAACACTGACTTTGTGTCCAAAAACCTTGCTAAACTCTCTTCCTGATTGAAATGATTTATCTGTACCATCTTTTGGGCTTGCTAAATACACAGTCATATCATCTGAGATTAATGGCAGTTTTATTTCTTTTTTATCCAGCCCTTATTTCTTTCTTTTTCTTACTTTATTGGTGACCTCTGGTGTGACATGGAATAGAAAGGTAGTAGGGGTGCCTGGGTGGCTCAGTCAGTTAAGCGTCTGCCTTCGGCTCAGGTCATCATCCCATGTGCCTGGGATCCAGCCCCGCTTTGGTCTCTATGCTCAGCGGGGAGTCTGCTTCTCTCTCTGCCTCTCCCTCTGCCTCTCCCTCTGTGCTCTCTCTCGCTCTCTCTTTCAAATAAATAAAATCTTGAAAGAAAGAAAAAACGAAAGAGAGAAAGAAAGAAAGAAAAAGAAAAGGAAGAAAGAAATGTAGTGATGGAGGGAGGGCCTGGGTAGCTCAAGTCGGTTGAGCATCTGACTCTTGATTTTGGCTCAGGTCATGATCCCAGGTTCCTGGGATCAAGCCCCGTGTCAGGCTCCATGCTTGGCAGGGAGTCTGCTCGAGATTCTCTCTCTCCCTCTCCTTTTACTCCCCTTCCCCATCATGTGCGAGCATGCGCGTTCTCTCTCTCCCCTCACCCAAATAAATAAATCAACCAACCAACCAACCAACCAACCAACAAATAGAATCTTAAAAAAAAAAAAAGAAATGTAGTGATGAGGGCATCCTTGTTCTTGATCTCCATGTCCCCAGTATGATGCTTTCAAAAGGCTTTCTGTAGCCACCTTCATCAGGTTACGGAAGTTCCCTTCTATTTACGGCTGACCTGAACGGTATTAGTGTTTATCAGATGGATTTTTCCATTTCCATTTTTCCATTTCCATTTCCAGCCATTGAGATTATCCTGATTTTTCTTCTTTCTTTATTCTTTCCTCTTCTAAAATGTGCTAAATACATTAATTCATTTTCTAAAGTTAAACCTGAGTTCATCAAGATAAGTCCAACAAGATCATGATTCGTATTATGCTCTCAGCATATTGCTGGGTTCAGTTTGCTAATATTTTGTTGAGGATTTTTGCCTTTGTGTTCCGAAATGAGGTTGACTTCTGACTTTTCTTTCTCCTGATGCCTGTGTGAGGCTTTGCTTCCTGAAGTGAGGTGGAAGCGTTGTCCCTTTTTCTATTCTCAGGAAGACTTTATGTAAGATTGGATTGTCCTCTTGAAAGTTTCATCAAAGCCATCTGTGACACCATCTGGGCCTTGAGTTGGTGTTTAAGGAAGGATCTCTGACTGCCGCCAGTTCACCTTCTTTAACGGTTACGCAACTATTTAAGCTTTCTATTTTTTCAGATACTGCTGTATTTTTCTAGAAATTCTTCTATCTCCTCTAAATTTTTGAATTTAAGTGACTTTTTCTTTTAACTTTTACAACATAGCTGGTGATTCCTCCTTGTCACCCTTAGTAGTGGTTTTTTTGTGCTTCCTCATTTGCGTCATGGGTTTTACCAGAGGTTTGTCCATTTTATTAGCTCTTCCAAAGAGCCAGCTTTGGCTTTGTTAATTCTTTATTTCTTTTCCTTTTTCTATGTTTGTTTTGCTTTGTGGATCTCTATTTTTTTTAAAGATTTTATTTATTTATTTGACAGAGAGATCACAAGTAGGCAGAGAGGCAGGCAGAGGGAGAGGAGGAAGCAGGCCCCTGCTGAGCAGAGAGGCCGATGTGGGGCTCGATCCCAGGACCCCAGGATCATGACCCGAGCCCAAGGCAGAGGCTTTAACCCACTGAGCCACCCTGATGCCCCATGGATCTCTGTTTTTATCTTTATTATGTCCTTCTTTCCCCTTTCATATTTTTGCTGTTCCCTTTTTTTTTTTTTTTAACTTCTTGATTGGGCATCTAGGTCATTAAATTCTTTTCTGTTTTATTCGTTGTAACATTACCCTCCAAGTATGGCTTTATCTGCACCCCAGGGTTTATAAACAGTACTTTCATGAGTCATTCAGATTCACAGGGCATCTGGGTGGCACAGTTGGTTAAGTGTCCGACTCTTGGTTTTGGCTCAGCTCATAATCTCAGGGTCGTGAGATTGAGGCCTACATCGGGCTCCACGCTCAGTGGGGAATCTGCTTGAGATTCTCTCTCCCTCCCTTTGTGTCCCTCCCACTCATTCTGTTCTCTCCCTCTCTCTCTCAAATAAATAAATACTTTTTTAAAAAATTCAGAGTATTTTCCTAATATCTAGTAGGCTCTTCTTAGGTAAGTAGGTGATTTGAGTGTGTTCCTTAACATGTAGAGATATTCTTGTTGACATTTTATGTGGATTCCTAGGTTGTGGTCAGACAACCTGCTGGATGTATAATTTCAGTCCTCCAAAATGCCCCAAAATTAGTGATAACAAAGTGGCCATGATATAGTTTTATAGTCTGCCTTTTATACTTAGTCACTTTGGAGTTTATTTTTAATTGTTCAGTTTGCTCTCCATCTTAAAGGGAAGTCAATTTGCCTGGAATTCAGAATGACCTGTTAGGGGCACATGGCTGGCTGAGTTGGTAGAGTGTGTGACTCTGAGTCTCAGGGCTGTGAGTCCAAACATTGGGGGTGGAGCCTATTTAAAAATCTTTTAAAAAGAGGCACCTGGGTGGCTCAGTGGGTTAAAGCCTATGCCTTCAGCTCAGGTCATGATCTCAGGGTCCTGGGATCGAGCCCCGCATCGGCCTCTCTGCTCAGCGGGGAGCCTGCTGCCCTGCTCCCTCTCTGCCTGCCTCTCTGCCTACTTGTGATCTCTGTCAAATTAAAAAAAAAAAAAAAAAGGCTCTTTAAATCTGCCAGCATATAACCATATACAAAAATACTTCATTGGAAAGTGCACTTGATTTTCCTTTGGCCTGAAATAGCTTGGTCGTTGTTTCCAGCCCTGAACTGTTGAAATAGATCACCAGTGTTTATTTACTCACACAGCTCTGTCTTGTTTGATGTATAATTTAGCCCGGGTCAGTTCTTTTTCTAGTTCTTTTTTTTTTTTTTTTTTAATAATTTTTTTCCTTGAGTATAGTTTACATACAGTGTGACATTAATTTCACATATATAAGAAAGTGATTCAGCTTCTCTGTATGCTGTGTTCACCACGAGTGTGGCTACCATCTGTCACCATACACCGCTGTTACAGTATCATGGGTCAGCCACATTTTTTTTAAGCTTTGAGTAAAGCTCATTTGCAGTGCGAAAGGGCATAAAAATCAACTGTTTTCTTGGTTTTTCTGCAGGCCCGAGGTATGAAGAAACAGGTCATTGATGACTTCATCACCCAAAACAAGTATCTGCTGGCAGCCAGGCTCACCAGCCAGAAGTTCTTCCATGAGCTCTGCCCCGTGAAGCGGTCTCACCGACAGAGGAAGTAAGGATGCCAGGCTCTGCCTCTGCTTGTCGCCGCAGGAGAGTGGACATGTCACACTTCTCTACCGGGCAATTAAACCTCTGCCTGTGATGTCAGAACTTAACTCTTTATGTTAGTAGTGGGGTGTACAAGTATCCAGGGTGCCAGCCTGGCCCCAGGGGCGGTCAGAGAAGATCTCCCTCATTCATAACCCTTTAGCTAAGGCCAAACGGATGAGTAGACTTTAGCCAGCTGTCAGGGAGAGCCTGGGTCCCTCTGAAGAAGTCTGGATATGGACATGTCACTGTTTCTAGTAGAAGGTTCCATGCAGAGCGAGCCTTTGGAGGCCTAGGGTAGGGGGCTGGGAAAACACTAACTTTCGGAAAGTGTAGGACACTGAGGAAAGGTCGAGAGAATTAGCTGGGAATGGGAAGGCTGAGGCATACTTACTCATACAGAGTATCTAAAAAGTCTAGAAACACAAAGGAAATATTTATTAGACCCCTTTCAGATTAATCAGTCAGTAGCTTTAAATGTAGGACTTTTTCATCATGCAACGTGTCTAGGTATGGAAGGAAGGAAAACATTCTAGTCATCGTATTTGAAAATACAACTCCAATATTGATTAAAATGGGAAAACTTCCCTATGTTTCCAGATATTTCTGATTCCTTTATAAGACTAAGGGAGAAGAAAGACTTGAATTCGATATAAAGAAGAATTTCATGGACTCAGAGATTGTGTACACGGCTTTCAGAAACTATCCCAGATCCATGCACTTCTCACCTTTTTTACTACCGCCACCTCTGGAGACCCCCATGCTAGCCTCCCAGCCAGGCTCTGCTTCCATTCCATTCTCTTCCCCTCTTGGGCCATCCAGGCGGTTCTCCACACAGCAGCCAGTGATCTTCCTGGAACTGTGTGCTGGGTCCAGTCTCTCCCCATCCGGGGCTCTTTGCACTTGAGGTTCTCTCTGCCTGGAATGCCCTGACCCCTTTCACCATATGGCACAGCCCGTCTTTGCTCACCTCTGAGAGGTGACGTGTTCCTGTGCAATCCGGCTAATGGCCCAAGACAGATCTGACCAGTTCTGCCTGTTGTGGAGACACTTGAACAGCCGGCTTCTGGAAGGATTCAGAGGCCTTTGCCACAAAAGAAATTCCCAAGTGTGATAACGTTTGGTTTGGGGAAGCTGTCACCAGTCTAGAAGAGAAGCAGGTCACTGATGACTTGGAAATCGTCTCTCGTCAGAGACTTCTGACGTACAGCTTCCATTAGTAAAATGTATTCGCTTCTGTAAAACGGGCGAGCCTCTTCTTCACCTTCTCTTGTTCTAGCCTCAGCCTTGGAGATGGATTATAAAGTCTTCTCTTCTGTCGTTGTGCAGGTACTGTGTGGTTTTACTGACCCCCGAGGCTACCAAGCTGAGTAAACCCTTTGAGGCTTTCCTGTCCTTTGCCTTGGCAAACACACAAGACACAGTGAGATTCGTGCACGTCTACAGCAATCGGCAGCAGGAGTTTGCCAACACCTTACTACCAGACAGTGATATGTTTCAAGGAAAATCAGCGGTGAGTCATGGATTCTCTTCTTAGTCCAAGCTCTTGACACACTTGTGGTACCTGACCTCTGTTTCTCCCTTCTTTGACAGTTTTGAATACAGATTGCAAGAAATCCAGAAAACTCTGAACTTATTTTGAAGACCTACTCTTGAAACAATCTTTTACCCTAGTGATTTCACCCCCTAGATTTTCAGCATTAGATCTTCCCAGAAAGCATCTTTCTTATGAGTAGAGGTTCAAGAGCAATCAGTTTTCAACAATTTTTTTTTCCCCATGGCAGGTGTAGTCTTAGAATACCTAGTTTGTAAGGGACACCTGGGTATCTCAGTTGATTAAGTGTCCAACTCTTGATCTCGGGGTCTTGAGTTCAAGCCCTGTGTTGGGGTCCACATCCACTACTTGAAAAAAAAAAAAAAATAGAATACCTAGTTTGTAAAATCTTCCTTAGGCAGTAAAATCTCCCTCCTTCTGCCTCTTTCATTTCATTTTAATTGATCCCTCTTCCCTTCCCCTCCTTTGTCATCACTCTACAGAAGCATTAAATTTTTCCCTGTCTTTGTCATCATTTTGGTAATAATGGAAAATCGTCCTAAAAAACTCAAAGTTCCTTATTACACTTTTAAGTCAGAAGTTACAGGAAAAAGTCTACTCACAAGAAAGAGCTTTAACTTTTAATAGAAACTTTGGAAAGTCACCATGAACATGGTGTCCATTGTCAGAAAGAACTTAAATCTCGTGCACTTACTTTATACTCATCCATATTCCTGTTCGAGCTTATTGGTGCCTTCACTGGATCCTTTTTACCATCCTCCTTGAGAAAAAAAACAAACAAACAAACTTGAAGACTTGTAACGGTTTCCGGCCTTTTCCCCCAGGTGTCTATCTTGGAGAGGCGCACCACGGGAGGAAGGGTGGTGTATAAAACGCTGGAGGCTCCCTGGACAGGGAGTGAGAGCGATAAGTTCACACTTTTGGGCTACCTCGACCAGCTGCGCAGAGACCCGGCTCTGCTGTCCTCGGAAGCTGTACTCCCTGACCTGACGGACGAACTTGCGCCTGTAAGCATGTGGCCCAGGAGAGGGGGCACCGGGCAGGGCTGGCAAGCTCCCAGAGCCAGAGCAGAGGCAGGCAGCACGCTGTGCTGGGCAAGGACCTCTCTGCCCCAGGCTCTGGGGCTCAGCCCTCACCATCCCACATTTTCTCTGTCCCTAGATCTTTCTCCTCCGGTGGGTCTACTCTGCTTCTGACTACATCTCAGACTGCTGGGACAGCATATTTCACAACAACTGGTAGGAGTATTGCTAGATGGAATTTCTTTTTCTCCATCGATAGCAGAACCACTGTTTTTCTCTTGAATCTGTCTTTCTTTGATTCCAGTGTATACTCAATACAGGCAAGTGCAAGAATGTTTACATGTTTTCAACGACTGTTCCCTTTATCTTTTTTATTTTTTTTTTAAGATTTTATTTATTGGGGACGCCTGGGGGGCTCAGTTATTAAGCATCTGCCTTCGGCTCACATCACGATCTCAGAGTCCTGGGATTGAGTCCCATATCTGGCTCCCACTCCCCTTGATAGTGTGCTCTCTCTCTGTCAAACAAATAAAGTCTTTTTAAAGATAAATAAAGATTTTGGAGCGCCTGGGTGGCTCAGTGGATTAAAGCCTCCACCTTTGGCTCAGGTCATGATCCCAGAGTCTTGGAATTGGGCCCCGCATCGGGCTCCGCTCAGCAGGGAGCCTGCTTCCTCCTTTCTCTCTCTGTCTCCCTCTCTGCCTACTTGTGATCTCTGTCTGTCAAATAAATAAATAAAATCTTAAAAAAAAAAAAAGATAAATAAAGATTTCATTTATTCATTTGACAGAGAGCAGCAAACAGAGGGATACGTATTTGCTGATTGCCCCCTCTTATTTTTTGTGTGTGTTTGCTGATTGCCCCTTAACCCCTGGGCCTGTCTTCTACGTCGCTGCACCCCTGGTGCCCAGCCCAGGGCCCGACACACGTGGAGGCCCGTGTAGAGATGTACAAGCCAGTCAGTGAGTTAACCAGAGAACGAAGGGCTCTCCCACTCCCACCCCCAATAATACCGTGAGCTCCTGAAGGGCAGAACCTCCTCTCATTCATGTTTGTGATTCCTGGCACCCGGCACAGCTCCTGAAAAATGGCAGGCCTTTGAGGAGTGTTTGTGGGTGAATAAAATTTTAGAGCACCAGTCCTAGAGAACGTCATGAAAGGTCAACATTTTCTTCCTCCTCCACCCCTCTGGGCCACGGCTGAATTATTCCAGCCAGGGGAAAAAAATAACAATAATCAAAGTAAGGGAAACATTTCCACAGACTTTCTAGTCACCACCCTTGATATCAGAATGTTCTTCCACGTTCACAGCATAAATCCTGTCACTTCCTTCTGCGGAACTTACCAAGCACACCTTGTTCTATTGAGACAAGATAATCAGACTCTTAGAATAAGCAATCCGGATTAAAACAGTGAGGGAAAATCTCGTTTTCCCCACCCCCGTGCTCACCCTCCAAAAAAAAAAAAACAAAAAAACCTTACTTGTATGAAACCATAACGTGTTTATTGATATGAAAGCCTTTGGTTTGGGGTTTTTTTTGGTTTTGCCTGAGCCACGGAAAAGAAACCCAGTAGCATTCACGGGCAGAGCTCAGCAGCCCATCTGGGGCTGACCAGAGTTTGTTAACTCCGTTTCAGGCGGGAAATGATGCCTCTCCTGTCCCTGGTCTTCTCTGCCCTCTTCATCCTCTTCGGCACCGTCATCGTTCAGGCTTTCAGGTAAACGGCTCCGTGGTTCCCAGCCCAATTTCTCAAGGGTGGGCCCCAAACCTCGGGGTTGTGTGTACTGTTTCTTTCCTAAAACTCCTTGTTTCTTACTTTAGTGACTCGAATGATGAGCGAGAATCCAACCCTCCGGACAAAGAGGAGGCCCATGAGAAGGCCGGGAAGACCGAGCCAAGCTTCACCAAAGAAAACAGCAGGTTTCTCTTAACAGGACACTAAACCCCCCCGCCAGGCAGGAGAGCCACAGGCCGCAGAGTCCGAGAGCGCGGTGTGCGAGTACCTAGTGTCTGTCGGCTCTCTGGGTCCCCTCCTCGTGTGTGAGATGGGAATTTAGGGAAGAGTCAGCTGCTGGGTAGTGTTTACTGAAACCCCGAGGCCTTTAGACACAGGACCTACTTAGATGCTGCTCAGTGCCTCCAGGCCCTCAGTCTCAACCATGATAATGGGAACAGGGGGCAAAGCGGGTCCGAGTTGCTAGATGACCCAAAAGCAGAGAAGCCTGTGTCACCATAACCATGCGGCTCCCCTTCACCCTGTCCTAAAGCCGCTTCTCCACCAGCTGCACTGCGGCATCCGAACGGCCCTCTGTAGGCCCAGCACCACCAAGCGGGGACCGTCCCCATCCCGCCGACGTGTCAGGCTCCAGAACATTAAATGACATCCCTAGTCTGGTTGGAACGTAACATTTTCTTCCTCTTGTTTCTTTTCAAAGTAATGGCATTCCCCTGTCCTGAGACTGTCTTAATTCCTCGCTATTTCTCCACAGCAAGATTCCTAAAAAAGGCTTCGTGGAGGTAACTGAGCTCACAGATGTAACCTACACCAGTAACCTGGTCCGCCTGAGGCCAGGCCACATGAACGTGGTCCTCATCCTGTCCAATTCCACCAAGACCAGCCTCCTGCAGAAATTCGCTTTGGAGGTCTACATGTTCACTGGGTAAGCACGTGTGGGAGAGAGGGAGAGGCAGAGGGAGGAGGGGACCGAGGAGAAGGTCGTCCTTTCCTCTGTGACCATGAGGGGCTTCATGCATGCGATGAGATGTCGGCTGTGACCTTTCGAGCCCAGAAACCAAAGCCATCACGAGGGGTCCTTTCTCCCCTCGACTTCGTGTCCTGGTGCTTCCGAACAAAGGAGGTTGACTTCTTCCCTGAGTCTTCTTCCCTGAGCATTTCAGGGAACTCTGTCCTCTAGCTCTCGTGTGTTTTCCTGAAGCCAGGCACTGAAAGTCATGCAGTGGCACCCAGCACGGGGTCCGGAGCGGACTCTGACAGCCGTCGCAGAACCCCTCACGTCCCACAGGAATCCTCCATTCTTCCCGAATTGGGGCCCCGTCCGACACCCAGTGTCCCTCCTCGTATTTGAGATCTGAAAAGATCTTTGTGTTCCCCGCGGTTCGGGCTGCGGGCTGTGCACTAAACGTGCTGTGTCCTTCCACCAGGAGCAGCTGCCTGCACTTCTCCTTCCTGAGTCTGGATAAACACAGAGAGTGGCTGGAGTACTTGCTCGAGTTTGCGCAGGACGCAGCCCCGATCCCCAACCAGTACGACAAGCACTTCATGGAGCGCGACTACACGGGTTACGTGCTGGCTCTGAACGGCCACAAGAAGTACTTCTGCCTCTTCAAGCCCCAGAAAGCAGTGGAAGAGGAGGAGGCCATGGGGTCCTGCAGCGACCTTGACTCTTCCCTCCACCTGGGCGAATCTCGAGGGAAATCTTCCTGTGGCCTTGGACCCAGGCCCATCAAAGGGAAATTGAGCAAGTTGTCCTTATGGATGGAGCGCCTGCTTGAAGGCTCCTTACAGAGGTTTTATATCCCATCGTGGCCTGAGCTAGACTGAGGGAGCTCAAGAGAGACTTTAACTCTTCAGGCTTTTTAATAGGCCCTTGGGAACAGGTCTTTTCAGGACTCCACCTATCACCACGGACAGAGAATAGATTCTAGATTATTCTTCCGGAACAATGTCTAGAAGAATCTTTCCTTTGTCCTGTTCTAACCTAGGAGTGAAAAACACCTCAAGCTGAATTCCCTAGATCAAAATATTTTGCTTTGGGTTTTTTTCCCCTTCATTTGAATGCCGCACTATTTAAAGTAGACTGCTCATCCCCTCTTCCTTTGTCATCCCTGTCCTGTGCTCACACCGCCCTCCCCTGTCCTGTCTCTGTGCTGGGGGAGACGCACAGGGCTCCAGGCAGCAGCAGGGCCTGATGGAACCCCTCCAGCCTGGAGCGCTGGTCGGGTCCCCACCCCCACCCCCGCTGTGCTTCCGCCCCGGCGCATGCTGGTATCAGTGGGACCGACAGCCCACACAGCAGCTTCTAGGCCCTGCATCCTGAAAGAGGCCTGGTTCCAAGCAATCTCACAATCGGTCCTTTTCCCGGTAGCCAGTGGCTAAAAGTGTATTTGGGGGGTATCCCCCTGCAGCAGCTTGTCAGCCACGGTTTTACAAGGCTAGGGGCAATTGGGGATCCTGCATGTGAGTTTGGTTTTCTTCCTGAGACAGGAGAAGGGAGGGCTGAGCAGTGACAGAAGTGACCCCTTGGGGTGTCCCCATCGGCCGCCTCCCCAGCGCTCAGCGTAGCCAGGGAGGGATCCGCACGGCAAGAAGTACTGTAATGACTTTGAGCCATTTACGTGTCTGTCTCACAAGCCTTTCTGCCTCTGTCAGTTGTAGGGTATGAATCTTAGGAGCCATAATTTGTAGTCTCGTTCTCTGGACTTAGAGATAAGCTGCTATAAGCCAGTAGATGTTAAACTCAAGACACCTACCTTATGCCCGCCTGACAGGCGTCAGGCTCCAGGAACCTCTTCCCTCCGAGGGTGTCTCTTTAGTAAAATACCAGACATGTCTTTGTATCAAGGAACTTAAAGATTTCTCAACAATGTATTTCGAACACTGTTACCCCCAAAAGTCCTGTAACTTTGAGCCCTCTTTTGTGACAAGTAAGCAAAGACTTGTTCTAGAATCCTGTTTGGCAAAAGGCTTCCTTTGAGCTTCTGGCCTATATTGTGGTTTCTCAGTTGCTTTCACTCTTAACTCACAACTGCTTCACCGGTAACAGGGTGCGCCCTCCCGCCAGCATCCCGGCTTCCAGAGCCCCAGTGTGCTGTGGACCACACCCGCCAGTTAGAGAGTTTGCATTTTCGAGGGGGTGGGGTGCCAAAACCACCAGTGGAGTTTGAACAGCCTTAGAGAGCGACCAGTTGAGATGTCAAAGCAAATTGCCCTTTTGTAAAGCAAAGTGTCAGAATCAGTGATGGGACGTTGACTCAGTATTTCTTTAATCATCAATGCTAATTTAAACTAAGCCATTTGGATCCTGAATAATTTGAACACTGAGCTACAGTAGCAAGTAATAAATTATTGAAGCCCAGGAATTCCTGTCGTTTCCATGGAGTCTATAGCTTTATTTAAAAAAAAAAAGAAAAAGAAAAAAAATCACTGCCAGGCTTTCCCCGCCCCCCCAGATGCTTACTCTGGTCGCTGTGTCTCCTGGCACCTGGCCCAGGCAGGCGTGATGAAGGGATTCATTTGGTTCCTTGATGCACCAGCCTCAAAATTATTTTCTGGGTCTTTTATGGCCAAGTCGCTGGTGTGAGTTGTGTTCTGGTTCAGTGGTGGGTTTTTAATTTCTGGTACCAATGGGAGGGATCCATGACCTTAATTTCTGAAAACCAAAACCTCCCCAGATTGTTCCTTTTAAAAATGTTTCTCATTAAAATAAAAAGCACCTTTAGACAGAAAGCTGCACCCTCCATTTGTATGAAGAAAGTAAAGTGAGAATAGAGAGGATTAAAAACATTCCCGGTGAATTTTGCAGTCCAAAAATTATCTCACAGGTCTGTTTGGGGTTAGAAGATATATCCCCCGAGAGGATGCTAGGAAGGTTCTACTTTAAAGTGAACTTTGCCCTTGACCACCCAAGCCTTTCCTCATGAATGTTTCCATGAATCTTTTTACTTCTCTGTCAAATGTATGAGCCATTGACATGCTCAGCCAATGCCACCATTTCTCCTTCTCTCATGTGTAATCACACAGACGTAATTTTGGTTTTAAGTTCATTTCTTGGTCTTTGAATATCTTGAGACTGACAACATTGTTTTATTTTTAGAAGTAGGCTTTTCTGGTTGATATCACCTATGTATCATGTTTGGCAGCTGGGGGTGAAAACTGACCTAAAACAAGTCTTTGTAGAATATACACCTACTTAACAATTTTTTTTTTATCATTCAGGTGCAGGTGGCGTAATTTGTCTAAGAGATTGTCAGCTCTGAGTCAGCAGCATTTCAGTGAACAGGACTGCCCTGACTTCCGCTGGGCACCACGGTTTCTCTCTCTCTCTCTCTGCCGTCACTTACTGACCATGAAAATTTGGTCGTAGTTTTCAAATCAATAGGTTGATTTCCTCCTCACTCAGTACATGAACGCTTTCCTGATTTAAAAAGAAATGAAATATGAATTTTTTTAAGTGATTTGCTCTGTTTGGGAAAAAGAGATTAGAAGCAAACAGTCCAACTTTTTTCCTAAGTAAAATTCTTTAAAAGCTGATGCAGAATATCTTTGCAGATGAAATATCGCTCCCGTCCAAATGCCTGACCTTACCCCTTGAGAACAAAGGCAGTGTGGCAGCTGCTGAATCTGTCTGTTCCATTTGTCAAGGAGAAGGATGGAACTTCAGAGACCGATCTGAAAAGAAGGGGAATATTTTGCACTTTTGATACTCTTAGGAACAAATAACTTATTTGGCCAATGGTGTCTTTTTTTATGTTGTTTTTGTTTTGTATTGTGAACAGGCACTGAAGCTGATGTTATTTTTGTTTTGAGAATATTACAGACTGGAGAACAGAAATAAACTATTTTAATGTGTGATGATTACGTGTCGCTCTTGCATTGGGAGACGATGATCTGCTCGCGGACACATTACTGATGCAAACCGAATTTGCGCGTAACTCAACCCACGCGTGAATCTTCTCAGCCAATTTCGGGAGTTACTGTCACGGCGCATCAACTCCAAGAGTAGATAACACAAAACTGAGGCAGGGAGAGGGTTAAGGAAATGTCCCCAAGGGCTCTCTGGAGGCCACCCGATGTCTGGCTGAAAAAAGATGTCTGGCTGAAAAAACATTCCGTGCATCCCATGGGCTTTTGAGCAGGAAGTTTATTAGGATCTGCATGTTACTTTCATTCAAACTTCTTGTTTATGTTCATGGTGGTCCTAAAACCCAGATACAGCCCTGAGTCCCTCAGGAGGAGCCACCGTGTAAGGGAAGAAACTGGAGAAATACGGGGTTGTATACAGTATTACGTCATAGGGCATTTTTTATTTCATTTATGCAATTTTTAGATCATCTTGAACCAGAGGCTCCTCTCATGTACATGAACGCTTTCCTGATTTAAAAAGAATCACTTAAAAAGAAGCACTGAAAAGGGCTCCCTTTTCCCCTTACTCCTCCAACATCTTTCATCAAAACAGTACAGTGCTTCTCTAGTTTTAGTTGTTCAAACTCCACAGAAATATTAGCTGTTGGATGAGGCTTCTACTGAATGCCCTGATTTTATAGCCTCCAGGGACAAAGTTGTGTTTTCTTTTAAGATTTTTATTTATTTATTTGACAGACAAAGATCACAAGTAGGCAGAGAGGCAGGAAGGGGGTGGGGAAGCAGGCTCCCCGCTGAGCAGGAGCCTGATGCAGGACTTGATCCCAGGACGCTGAGACCATGACCCCAGCCAAAGGCAGAGGCTTTAACCCACTGAGCCACCCAGGCGCCCCAGAGACAAAGTTCTAGTGGTATGGACTCTCCAGTACTCAGATCCCTTGCGCATAAATTCTTAAGAACTGTCATCAGCACAACCTTTGTATCCTGAAGAGCACAAGGTTCAGACGACAGTCCCTTTGGGGAGAGCACACAGCATCTCAAAGAGCAGGTTAGCGGCCACCAGGGCCGTGTTGCCTACAAAGAGACAGAACTGAAGGTGAACACGAGGCAGGCCGCTCCCAAGGCCGAAACTCTCGGTACTCAACCCTTTTCCCTTTGCGCTGCCTTTCCAGATTCGCCCCCTCTTCCACCCTCTTCTCCGGGCTGCCCAGCCACCCTGTGGACACGCTTTCCCTGGTACTCGGCTCCATCAGGCGTCATTCAGAAAGAGCCTTCTGAAATTTATACGGTTCGTTGTTTACCCTGAGAACAGAATCCCACCACCGCCTCCCTCCAGCCCCCACCCCACCCCACCACCCAAGGAAAACCTGTAATAATGGTGTCTATTGTATTTATCACCTACCCTCTGAGGCTAACAGGCCTAAGTCTGGAAGCTTCTCTAAGTCAAAATTATTGGAATGGCATCTGCTTTGAATTTCTCTCCTAAGCCACCCAACCTCCCACTTCTTTAATATTAATAAATATTACTTATGCCTCGACAATTCGCTTCTCAATGAACTATCAAAGAAAGGTAGAACGGTGCTACCCTATTAATAAACTATCGGCTGGTTTCTTTCTCTTCTGCTGTCCGGGCCAGTAATAGCCACCTCCCAGGGGTTTTGTTAATTAGCTCGTGTTTGTAGGGTGTGCAGTAATAGGTTTATTTTCTTCGCTGCAAAACATACTCAGCAGGTCCCCAAATTACACAAAAGGGCCCATCCATCTTCTACTTATCAAGTACATTAATATCATTTAAACCAGCAGCTGCCTACAGATCACAGTATTCTCGCTTACTCACCAAAAGGATCATAGGGCGGCGAAACTTCCACAAGATCACAACCCACCACGTTCAGGCCTTGACAACCCCGGATGATCTCCAGCGCCTGTCCCAAGACCAAGCCTGAGTTGTCCACAGCAGTAACCGCTCACAGCGAAAAGCAACCAAAGAGGTCCCAGTGCCTCTCTCCCAACACACGCCCACCCTTTGACTTGGAACTATCTCTTTCTCACAATAAGCATCTATCGACGGCCAGGCACACTGGTGGGCATCACGGAGACACAAATGGCCAAGACACAGCCCCCGCTCCCAAGGGGTCCACTGTGGGACAGAATACACACAAGCCACCAATCACTTCAATGTCATGCATTAAAGGCTTCAAGAAAAGCCAGTGTAGGGACCCCTGGCAGGCTGAGTCAGTACAGCGTGCAACCCTTGATCTTGGAGTTGAGAGTTCGAGCCCTGTATTAGGTGTAGAGATTACTTTAAAAAATAAAATCATAAAAAAAAAAAAAAGCAAGCATAGGAAAGTGTAACACGAAACAGCCCCAAGAGCTGGGGTAAGGCATCCCCAGCAGTGGAAGCACTTAGCGCAAGGAATTGGCCAAGCAGCTAGGTAGGAGCAGTGCAGCCCAGACTGAAAGACACATGCAAAGACACGGAGATGGAAAGAAATACCAGTAGTTAGGTGTGGCCAGCAGACAGGATAAGTGAGGGTTCACTTTGTCTAAAAGAGTTTCCATTCTGCCGGTGAAAAGCCCAGAATGAGAAGCTGAGGAATGAGGGTTGAGTTTTAGAAATCTCTGAGGGGAACTGATGGAGAATGGCTTTGAGAGGTAGTTGCTCACAGGCCCCCCTTTCTTAGAGGACATAAGGTCACGGCTCAGGTGTGAGCGGTCTTCCCTCAGGTGCCCAGATATCTATGAATGCCTCCTCTTTATGTCAGGCACCCTTCTAGACTCTAAGGACAGGGGAGCACATGTGGCAAGAGCCTGATCCTCCTGGAGCTCACCTTCGAATTAAAACCACACTCCGATTCTGCCTCCGTTTCCTGACACTCAGCCCACCTTCAGAGAGCTTTATTTGAGTGTTTCTAAAAGGTCTGAGCATCCATGGTAGGCGGTTAATCCCACCGTGAGCACTTCTTAAATGGAGCCCCAGAAAGAGAAACTTAGCGTTTTTAAGCGGGGATACTGGCATATGTCCCCCCGAGCCAACCATACGTGGATCAGAGGCAGAAGGCTCAAGGAACAGACTTATCCAATCCCAGAGAGGAAAGGAGGGCCCTTGCCAAAGTTGGTCCACTCCTCACTCAACAAGAGGGTCCAAACTTCAAGCAGCCCTGAGAACAAAGGTCTAACCCCTCAGCTTTTAAAATCCTGTCCTGATCCCGAAGACTCACCCACCGCAAGTCCCAGGGAAGTGGGGAGTTAAGAACCCTCC